GCTCTGGTTTTACTATTCTGGACAAGCTGAAACAGCCTGTCATGATCTATATTGTTTACCCCCTCTAGAATCTTAAAGACAGCAATCATGTTGCCTCTCTTTTCCAGCGTGAACATGCCCAATTTACTTAGCTGCTACTCATAGTCCAGTCCCTCCATTCCCTCAATCATTTTGGTTGTCCTCCTCTGTATCCTCTTGATTTCTCCAATATCCCTTTTGTACTGTGGCGACCAGAACTGTACAAATGAATGTGTGGTCCTAGCTGGACGAGCAGCGGGAAGCTTGCCTGGCAGTTTTCTTAATGGCAAGTTATGCTGTTTTAGCTGGTTAAACTCCAGCAGTGGTTAGCTCCTGGCTTTTAGAATATTGAACAATGGGCCGGTTGGGAGGACACAAATTTTAACTTTGATCAGCATTGATTAGTTAAACAAAACAAAAACAAAAAGCAGTAAAAAGGACAGGAGGGAAAAGGAGGGGGCCTTAAAGTTGCCTCATGATTTGGGACATAAAAATGAGGTATTACAGGCAACATTATTTCTTTAAATACTACTAATATTTGTAGTAATCACTTTGTCTCGACGAATGGCTTCTTCCACTTTGTCTCGACGAATGGCTTCTCCTCCACCCCCGTACTGTCTCATGTGGTGTCCCTCAGGGCTCTGTCCTCGGTCCCCTCCTCTTCACCCTCTATATGCTCCCCCTCGGTAACATCATCCGCAGACATGGAGTTAACTTCCACATGTATGCGGATGACACCCAACTCTACCTTTCCTCCTCTACTCTCAACTCCACGACCACCGATGTCCTGACAGCTGCCTGTCCGACATCGAGTCCTGGACGAGAGACAACTTTCTTCAGCTCAACGTGCGAAAAACCGAGGCCCTCCTGATTGGCTCACGTCAACGCCTCCGCACCTCAGGGGCCGACACCATCAGCATCCAAGGCTGCACTCTCCACCTCTCAAAGCCAGTCAGGAACCTCGGCGTTTTGTTCGACCCTGAGCTGTCCTTTCTCCCTCACATCCGCACCACAACTGGCACCGCCTTCCATCACCTTCGGAACATCGCCAGACTATGGCATTACCTCACCCCTCACGCTGCTGAAACCCTGGTCCACGCCTTTGTCACCTCAAGGCTGGACTATGGGAACTCTCTCCTCGCCGGCCTTCCCGCCACCTCCCTCCACAAGCTGCAGGTCATTCAGAACTCTGCAGCTCGTGTACTGTCACACTCCAGGCTTCGGGACCACATCACTCCCACCCTCGCTCGCCTCCACTGGCTCCCCATCCCCCAGAGGATTGATTTCAAGATCCTCATCCTCACCTACAAGGCCATTCACGGCCTTGCTCCCTCCTACCTCTCCAACCTACTATCCCCCTACCTACCTGCCCGTACCCTCCGTTCCTCTGGCTCTGGTCTGCTCCACGTCCCCCGCCCCAACCGCCCTACCATCGGTGGTCGGGCCTTCAGCCTCTCAGCCCCCAGGCTCTGGAACTCCATCCCCCAGTGCCTTCGCCGCCTCCTCCCTTTCCTCCTTCAAGGCCGGTCTCAAAACCTTTCTCTTTGACCGAGCCTTCAGCTCCCCTCTCGACTCTCTTCCCCCTCCTCGCTCCCTCCCTTCCCTCCCCTCACCCTGACCATTTCCCCCCTGCTCGGGTCATGACCCAACTGTGCAGCGCCTTGGGACGTCCTCCTGACGTGAAAGGCGCTTTATAAATGGAATCTTGTTGTTGTTGTTGTTGTAATAATATTTAGTCTATAACACCAGGTGTGGAAACATTAGACTGACAGGAATCATTTGAAGTCAGTACTGTTGCCTGGTGATGATTATTTCCTTAGTCCAAGCACAACTGCAATCAGTAGGGCTGCAGTTCACCCAAATCTCTTCTCCAGCCGCCTCTCCAAACAGTTTACACTAAATGTTTCCATTCCTGCTGAGCCAAGAAATGATCTTCTTTTCTGATGTGTTCAATAATATTCTGGACCGAAGGTTTCCCTTGTGATTAGTTTCTCCATGGTTACCAGCAAGGAATCAAACCAGTATCTGTGTGGAAATTGTAAAGGGCTGAAATGCCAACATTGCTCATTTACTCAGAAAGAGAAAGGAGTTTGTTCCAGTCTCCAAGGACCTGGCCAACAAGCCTTCGGATAGACTTGGCCATTTGTGGGATATTGCCGCTGCTGTGTTCGCCTACGAAATAAAGGCATTACACTTCACAGCTAATTCCTATGAAGCGCTTTGAGACATCTCAACAATCTAATAAGGTGCTATGTCAAAGCATGGACTATTATTATTATTTAACCTCAGTCACCCATTGAGGTATCTGTCTGAACTGTGCATCAGCCAGCTCTTTACTGATAATAGACTGAAATACACTGACTGACTTGGTGTCAATGATGTGGTCTAACATGTCAGGTAAAGTTAGTTAATTTAACAGTGGGAAGAAATTGATTAACATCAGTAGCGATACAACCATCGATACAGGCTGGGAGGTGTCACTGTATTCAACAACGCAAAGTAACTAGATTAATATCAGTCGGGATATACGGGAGTCAGTAACACAGGTCTGTCTGCTTTAAGCACTGCAGTGGCTTCCTCAGCCTGTCAGCCTCACTGACACTGACCGGGGATTATGGTAGTGACACTGATACTGAGACTGTTACTAAGCGCTACGAGAAGAGACATTGCCCAGCGTGAAGGTCACTGTACAAAAGCAAGTTGTTGTTCTTATTGTTCCCAACTTGTGTGCACACTTCACAACTGTCCTCCAATAACGCTAAGTACCACATAGGCTAGAGCAGCATGATCCAACTGGCGGCCCACAGGCCGCATTCGGCCCTGCAGTTGGTTTTATTTTGCCCAAGACCATTTCCAACATTCCAACCTCCACTCACTCCCGGCGGCAGGAGCCGGCGGTTGGGAGGACACAGCGCGGAGAGTGAAAATAATATTGGCCCTTGCTGTAGTCTGTCAGGAAGGCAAATGTCTCTTGCTAACCGTGTCTTTAGCAGATAGTGATTGCCGCACAGCTGATTGGGAGAGAGAGGGATTGAGAGGTTGGGAAAGAGGGGGGAGAGAGGGGGGGAGGGGGAGGAAGAGGAAGGGGGAGGAAGATAGAGGAGGGGGTAGAGAGGAGGGTGTTGTGTGTGAGAAGACTGAGAGAGGTGAGAGGGAGAGAGACGAGGGGGCTGGGGGAGAAGAGGGTATATGTGTGAGAGAGAAATAAGAAAGGGGGAGTGAGAGAGGAGACTGTGGGAGAGAGGTGAGCGAGAGAGGGAGATTGAGAGAGAGTGTGAGAGTATGAGAGGGGGAGAGAGAGTGCGTGAGTGGGGAGGGAGTGAATGTGAGAGAGATGGGGAGAGAAAGAGAGGAGATTGAGAGGGGGGATTGAGAGAGAGTTTGAGAGGGGATAGAACGTGTGTGGGAGAGAAGGGGAGTGAGAAAAATTGAGGGAGGGGGAGCATGTGTGAGAGAGAGAGGATAGGGGGGGAGATGGAGTGTGAGAAGGAAGAGAGAATGTGAAAGGGTGTGAAAAGGGGAGTGAAGAGAGTAATTGAGAGAGAGAGTGTGAGAGAAGGTGTGAGAGAAGGAGAGAGATTGTGTGCGAGTGAGTGCGTGAGAGAGTGGAGAGAGAGAGAAAGTGGGGGAGGGGGGCGGTTAGAAAGAGGTGGGGGAGAGGAGAAAGAATTCCCCCCCGCCTCTTTGTCCCCCCTCCCTCTCCCCCCCTCTCCCTCTCTCTCCCACTCCCCTCTCTCTCCCCCCCACCCCACTCATTCCCCTCCCTCTCTCCCCTCCCTCTCTCCCCCCTCCCCCTCTCTCTCCCCCCTCACCCAGACCTCTCTCTGTCCCCCCTCTCCCCTTCCTCTGTCTCCCCTCTCTCCCACTCCCCCTCTCTCCCCCTACCCCCCTCTCCTCTTCCTCTCTCTACTCCCTCTCTCCAATTCTCCACCTCTCTAATTAGTATACTTATATTATATTAGTTTACCAGTATATTTTAGATGAAGAATTTACTCTTTTAAAGCAGTTTCTTTCAGTCTGGTGTGAGTTATCAACCAAAGGTCCAGAATTTCACCCAGTCTTAACGTAGCCGGTAAAATCATTGCCTTAAAATTTTAGATTGTGCAGAATTGTGGAAAATTCTTAAATTCAGCTTTAGATTGGAAGCTGTTTATTTTTTATTGTGGTCTTAAAGCACATTTCTTCCCAATTCTCTCCCCAGGCTTGTGCTCTTAGAGAAATAATGAGGTTACAGTAATGCTATGGTACTTGAAGTTTAGTGGTACTATGATAATCTGAGTTCAGTATTATTCTGGTAATCCCAGTTCGGTGTTATTATGATAATCTCTGTTCGGTTCAGTGTTATTGCTATTTGAAGGAAGAAGGATGTTCTGGCCAACAAATCCCCCAAATAAATTTGGTCACTCACTCCATGGCTGCCTGTGAATTGCTATGTGCTGCCACATTTCACCCATAAAATACAGTCAATCCACTTGACTGTATATTTTGGGAGGAATAATGAGGAGAGGTAACATATAATAAATGGTATAGTTTTAAAAGGGGTACAGGAGCAGAGACACCTGGGGATTCACATAAGTCTTTAAAGGTGGTTGGACAGGTTGATGGAACTGTTAAAGAAGAATATGGGATCCTTGGCTTTATAAATAGAGGCACAGATATAAAAGCAAGGAAGTTCTGCTATCCCTTTACAAAAAAATTGCAAGGATATGGGGAAAGAGCGGACAGTGGGACTGATTGGGGAGCTCTTCCAAAGAGCCGGCACAGGCACAGGCATGGCCTCCTTCTGTGCTGTAATATTCTTTGATTCTATGATTCTATATCCCGTGAAGCACTTTGAGACATCTCAAAGACGTGATAAGGTGTTATACCAAATGCAAAGATTGTTATTATTATTAAAGTAATCTCAATTCAGGATTATTACAGCAATCTGAGTTCACTGTTGCAGGAATTCTAACAAGTTAATTTTTGCTCTTCAACGACAGGTACATTGCGATAGTCCATCCCGCCACAGAAAAGAGGACCATCTGCGGGACAATTCTAGTGAACACATTTGTGTGGCTCGGGAGCTTGCTGCTGACAGTCCCAGTCATGTTGTACTCCAAGACAATCCAGGTGGAAGATTTTGAAGTTTGTGTTGTGGACCTACCATCGGGACCAAAGGATATGTATTGGTATACACTCTATCAGTCAATATTGGGGTTCATGATCCCCCTAATTATTATAAGCACTTTCTATTCACTGACTCTCTTTCATGTCTTTAAATCTCTCAGAAGAGTAGGTAGAAGGCAATCGGTACCGGCGAGGAGGGCAACCAAGACTGTTCTGATGGTGATAACTGTCTTCTTGGTGTGCTGGTCGCCTTTCCATGTGATGCAGGTGCTTAACCTAACTACCACAGTCCCAACCCCACTCTTTCTCTACTCCTACCACGTCAGTATCTGTCTGAGCTACGCCCACAGCTGCATCAACCCTCTTATGCTGCTGTTCTTCACCAAGACTTTCCAGGAACGCTTTTCAGGAAAATGTGGCTCAGTGGTGAAAGGTGATGCCAGCTCCCGCCTCAGGCAGATCACCACCAGAATGGGGGGTGTCTCTGACAATCAGGAGGTGGACTGCAAGAGTTCGGTTGTGTGACAGCTGCTCTCTCAGCCTGCTTAGGAGCAGCGACCATTACAACCCACACTGTTTTGATTATTCCAACATCCAATTCAACTTGAAGGGACTCTTCACCTTGGTGTGGTGGTGGCCAAGCTGTGGCTGGAAGTGGCCTGCCGGACATTGTAACTAGGACAACAACAACAACAATTACCCTGCTCTTATACAGCACCCCTCATGCAGGGTAGAGTCTCAGAGTGCTTGACAACAACAACAACAACAACAAGATTCCATTTATAAAGCGCCTTTCACGTCAGGAGGACGTCCCAAGGCGCTGCACAGTTGGGTCATGACCCGAGCAGGGGGGAAATGGTCAGGGTGAGGGGAGGGAAGGGAGGGAGCAAGGAGGGGGGAAATGGTCAGGGTGAGGGGAGGGAAGGGAGACGGCGAGGAGGGGGGAAATGGTCAGGGTGAGGGGAGGGAAGGGAGACGGCGAGGAGGGGGGAAATGGTCAGGGTGAGGGGAGGGAAGGGAGGGAGCGAGGAGGGGGAAGAGAGTCGAGAGGGGAGCTGAAGGCACGGTCAAAGAGAAAGGTTTTGAGACCAGCCTTGAAGGAGGAAAGGGAGGAGGCGGCGAAGGCACTGGGGGATGGAGTTCCAGAGCCTGGGGGCTGAGAGGCTGAAGGCCCGACCACCGATGGTAGGGCGGTTGGGGCGGGGGACGTGGAGCAGACCAGAGCCAGAGGAACGGAGGGTACGGGCAGGTAGGTAGGGGATAGTAGGTTGGAGAGGTAGGAGGGAGCAAGGCCGTGAATGGCCTTGTAGGTGAGGATGAGGATCTTGAAATCAATCCTCTGGGGATGGGGAGCCAGTGGAGGCGAGCGAGGGTGGGAGTGATGTGGTCCTGAAGCCTGGTGCGGGACAGTACACGAGCTGCAGAGTTCTGAATGACCTGCAGCTTGTGGAGGGAGGTGCCGGGAAGGCCGGTGAGGAGAGAGTTCCCATAGTCCAGCCTTGAGGTGACAAAGGCGTGGACCAGGGTTTCAGCAGCGTGAGGGGTGAGGTAATGCCGTAATCTGGCGATGTTCCGGAGGTGATGGAAGGCGGTGCCAGTTGTGGTGCGGATGTGAGGGAGAAAGGACAGCTCAGGGTCGAACAGCAGCGGAGACTAGCATCAAGCCAAAACAGAACAGTTTTGCAGTATATAAATATCGACTACTCGTGTTCCTTTTTTAAAATTGATTTATGGCATAAATCAAGAAATATTCAATCAAGAACATTTATTTTTCTGGCTTAGTGCAACCCTGGGTAAAAAATAAATCAAACTCCTAAAACTGCAAGTGAATTTCTTACAGTTATAATAATATTCCTTGCATTTGATATAGCGCCTTATCATGTCATTGAGACTTCTCAAAGCGTTTCACAGAATGTACTGTAATGTGAATTGACTGTATATTTTGTGGTTGAAATGTGGCAGCCAATTGGGTGCAGCAGTGTCAATGATTCACTTTTAAATATCTTTATTTGGTGGATTGAGTGACCACATTTTTAAAAAAGTATTTCTACAAGAAAAAAGTAATGTTGAGTGTACACAGTAATCTGGATTTGCAAAGTTTTGTCTCAACTGTGGGAATATAAACCACATAGATAGTTATTAAAAAGATAGTTACAAGGTACTCGATTGATCAAAGGATCCTGAAGATATTACAAACCATGGCAAAGCTGGAGTTGGTCAGTTACAGAGAAAAAATTACAATGATCCAATTGCTGCAGTGAGCTTACTGTCAGCTCTCTTATTCTTTACACTACAGGGTCAAAAATTTGTGACTCAATTTGTGGAAATTGGTACCAAATTCACTAAAAGAATAGAATTAGGGAGGGGGGGAGGAGGGGAATCGTGAACCCAAAGGCAATTTTTTCTTTACTTACAATTTTCAAAATCTTTGGGCCTTTCCTCAGGGAGAGAAATAGAAAGAAAGCAAATGGTCACTCACGATCACAAAGCCAAACACTTCACATAACAACAACAAAATTACATTTACAAAGCACCTTTCACGTCAGGAGGACATCCTAAGGCATAAGTCTCACAATGGCTTGAACAGGCAAAGTAAAAGATCAGGTAAGAGCTAAAGATGTAATGAGTAGGATGAATGTCTCAAAGCTAATGAGATCAAAGCCTTAATTTGAACATTAGGTGTTAAAGCACTTTCTGGATTGCCTCATCCTGGAGAGATACAGCTGGAAATAGACAGCTGTGCTTTATTTATGAGACAACATTGGGAACGGTCACTGAGGCCACAGTTATAAAAATAGATAATGGGTCTGGTAAGACAGGTATATTTACAAGGCAAAGACATTACAGGCAAAACAAGTTGCATTTTTATAACACTTTATACGTCAAAATGCCTCAAATGCCTTAACAGTAATTCTTGTCAAGTGTGACTATTTTTGTGCAGTCTGTTTCTTGCAAGTGTGACAGCTATTTGGGGAATAGAAGGTTCCACAAACAGCCAGGGTAATGGAAGAAACTCCCTTATCTCTTCAAATGATGACCTTTAACATCCATCTGAAGACAAGCAAACAGGACCTTCTCATATGAAGAACAGCACCTCTGACAATGCGATGTTCCCCAGTATTCCACTGGACTGCCAATCTACACTATGAGATCAGGTCTCGACATTTTGGGATTGAATCCATAACCGTCTTTCCCAGAGGTGAGAATGCAAACTACTAAGTCAAGCTGACATCCAAGTACTAAATGCAACCAAAGAAGTAAGAGCAATTGAATAAGAGAGAGAGAAAAAGACAGCGAGCACAGGGAAGAATGTGAGTGAAAAGAAGAAGTAATTTTATTCAACAATATCTGCAATGAAATCTGCTGACATTTCAGTATGTTATATTAATGTAAATTTTTGAGCCTCACAGAGTGGAAAAAAAACTATTGAAAAAAGGTTGCCTGGGGTACACCTTTCTCTGTAAAAGTGAATAAAATTCACTCACACATCCTGCATTCTTTTCAAGCTGCTAATCTCGTTTCAGCCTGAGTTGTATTGGTCTAAATTGATATTTAGACGTGAATCATTGATACAGCACGCAAACTTTATTTAAGGGCTGTTACAGCAATAAATCATACCAAAGAGAGTGTAACAACGTGATGCAGTGTCCCTGCTCCCAGTATCCTTATTGGTTAGAGCACTTGCCTTGGTTCGATTCCAGGGCAGGTTTGAAACCTTGGGCAAGTTTCCTTATTCGACACACCTCTGTTTGCCGAGCAGTAAGTAGGAACCCGGTTGTTAGTTGATTGGTGAATCATACCTACAGGCGGCAAAGATTTTTGGGAGGAATAAAATGAATCACGCAGGGGAACCCCCTAAATTGACTGAACCAGGGTTAGGGATTGGAAAACTTTCAGACAGGGTCCCACATCCTGATCACTATCTTGTGCACTTACTCGCCTTGCAAGCAAGATGATCTAGGTTTGATTCCTGGGCCGGGTGAAACCTTAGGCAAGTTTCCTTACTCCACACACTTCAGTTTATCTAGCAGTCTGTAGGACTCCGGTTGTTCGGTCAATTGGCGGATCGTTTTCTGAGGTAATAATCCCTTAAAAAAAATGCAGTCACTCAATCTACGACGGTTTGTGGGTCACTGTTATGAGTAATTGGTGTTTCGCCCAGAAAATATACTTCAAGGTATATTCTGTGAAGTGCTTTGAGACTCAACAAAGTGATAAGGAACTATATCAAATTCAAAGATTATTATTGTTATAGTGTCCTAGGCTATTAGATGTTGGTTTGGATAACCTTCTGTCCAAAGAAGCTTCTATTGCAGGCGGATTGCCGTGTTGCAAAGGCACCTCGATTGGAATTGAAGTAGCTCTTACAGCAAGTTTCATTGTAAATGTGACATTACATTCAGGACATTTGATGTCGGTTTGACATTCGTGACCTTTCGCCTGACACACAGCCCAGAAAGCAGCTGCTCCACAGCTTTGTCCTGAACATAATGCTGGAGTACTTATCAGGGTGGTTCTGCACTCAGATATGGTGAATTATTTCCCACATCTCAATAGCTTTTATCCTATTGAGAAATTGCAGGTGCAATCCTGTTTCATTCCCCTCCATTAATTCCCTAGTACTTTCAGCGCACTGTCATATTTGTATCAATTGCACTTGTGTCAAACAGATTTCATTAAAACCTCACATGGGAAAAGGATGCAATTAGCTTGTGGTCCAATATTAAAAGCTGATTCTGTTTGAAGTGAAGAACTATAACTTTTCTTTTAGATTATGACCTGCTGCCCAAGATGGCTGATGCCTGGAATGGCCCCTTGTGCAACCCCTCTCCTTTTACACCACAAACTCTGGCCTGTTGCATATCCCTCGCTCCACCATTGCTAGCTGAGATTTTATACTTAATGTTCCCAATCTTTGAACTCCCTTCCAAAATTCCTTCACCTTGCACTCAACCTCCTTGTCTACAGAACCCTTCTGAAAAAGAGACTTAAAGAATTCATGGCTTGGGCAGACTCCTCCATAAGCAGTTATTTCCAAGTCACTTTTATTGTGTTCATGGATCTTACTCTGATCTCCAAAATATGTCCCGATCAGGCTAGCAACTAGGCAACTGACCAACAATCCACTTTTCTATTGGAGACTGCTGCAAAGGTTGAGGAGCATCTATTCCTGAGTAATTCAGAACACAGCAGACGCTCCACACATCTACTCTGTTGAACTCTCTGCCCAAATCCCTCCATATTGCCCCCTCCTTGTCTGTCTACAGATCATGCCTTCCTCTTCGACCAGGTCACCATCGCACTCTCCCTGGTTTGGCATCAAGCTCTGTCACTGTTAAGCGCTCTGAGATGTTACCCCACATGAAGGGTGCAATATGAATGCAAGAAATCAAACATCAAACAAAAAGGAGACATTGTGGTTTAACATCAACCAAGTCAGTAATCGCCTGTCAATCAACATGAACAGGCAGTGATTAAATCACAATTCCTTCTCATTTGTAACAATTAACATTTTAATTCAGAGC